CTGAACCGAGTAAATGACTTTTGAACATTGACTAAGCAATGTTACATCTTTCTTAACTCTGTTCATTTTCCATGATGAAGCCTCTGTAACTGACGAACATGGCATGCCGATACTGGCTGAAGGGTTGCCCCGAAAGGTTGCTGACCCATTTGACTACGGAGGTGGGAACATTAACCCTAATAGGGCAGCTGATCCTGGCTTGATTTATGACATTGATCCAAGCGATTACAAAAAGTTCTTTGGCTGCGCCATCAGCAGGACATCTGCAAGTTGCAATGAAACTTTCGTACCAGGCTACCACCTGAATCTACCGTCCATCTCTATTCCAGACCTGAGGTCTCCAATCACCGTATCGAGGACAGTCACAAATGTAGGTGAGGTCGATGCAGTTTACCATGCTGCAATCCAGAGCCCACCTGGAGTTTGGATGGATGTTGAACCTTCCGTCCTCGTGTTCAATTCTACAAACAAAGTACACACGTTTCAGGTGAAGCTATCACCTATGTGGAAGCTACAGGGAGACTACACATTTGGCAGCCTTACATGGTACAAGGGCGAAAAGAGTGTTCGGATTCCAATAGCAGCCCGGATGACACTCCATGATTTTTATGCTGATGTTGCATAATTGGGTCGGAACATGATGGCTATCTTATATCATTGTTTTCCTTTTATAGTGTTCTTTGCAACGGTATAGAAGAGTAAGCAGTGCAAGTTCCAGTATGCCCTCATCTGTGTATTTGTCTCTTTATCGGCATTAGCAGAACAGCTTGCGTTATTGAGCTAGCTAAATTTGAATAAAGCTGCACTTGTTATACAACTATGTCAAAATACAAATGGATGTACAATTATTATTTAATTCTTCAAACAGATATACGTGTTCTTTTGTTATATAAAGCTATAATAGCTTTGACTTTTGTACTCTTTCCTAGTACGTTGTGATTTTTTTTGTACATCAGTAATTTTAATTTTATTGTGACTTCCTTGTATATCATTATTTTTATTGTGAGATGTTTTCTCGTTAAGAAAGAACATTTTTTATTTTGACATTGTGCATTTTTTCACGAAGAAATACCATTCCTTAAATTATTCGTGTATTATCCATGGGATGATCCATAGTGTACTTTTATTATTTTTTCTCAAGGTATCCATAAGATGTTCCGTAGTGTATTTTATATTTTTCATATTGTAACCATAGATTGTTCCATGATGTATTTTCAATCGTTCCCTTAAAATTCATGGGATGTTTTATGGTGTATTTTTTTTACAATAATACGTTTATGACATATTTTCGATTGTTCATTTAGCATTCATGGATTGTTCTAACGTACATTTTAGGTTACCAAGATATGTTTAATGATGTACTTTGGATTATTTGATTTTCCTTTACTTCTGTGTCTTGACGGCATTAATAAATCCACCAACCTTCTAACCGGTACGATAGATCAAGCCTTGATAAATTGTACATACATGCCCTCTACATGTTAAACTACAAAATTCCATAAGGATCTACATAATAATTTAATGCGGCTGTAAATATATTTAAAAATATACATAGACCTTTATTTGAAGTAAATTTGGTAAATTAAAATAAAAAATTTACAATAATATATAGGTATGATTAAATAATTAAATTGTTAAAATAATCACTCAATTTTCTCAAAGTAACATTATATATGACCAGTTATTCACTAACAAATAAATGAACATATAGGTATGACTAATTAATTGATATATTTTAATAAACAAACAAATTCACTGCCAAGATATAAATTAATCTATGTATTCTCTATTCATGGATGGTGGTGCTAGGATCCGTAAATTATGAAATTAAGGGATTTATAATGCAAGAAACATGTGAGGCTACATAATACATCAATTTTAAGACACAAACTATAGTTAATACGGTATTCAAATACTCAAACAACATGCATTCTCTCTCTATACAGGATTCATCCAAAAAAGACAGGGTACAAATTATCTAACTTTTTTGAGCAACCTCCTTCAAAAGAATGAAGATCAAAATCTCCCACCTTATATTTAGCAATTCTTGGATCTCCAGAGACGCCAACAATGGTGTCTTTGATCGGGCTGAACAGTGCTGCTCGGGGAGGTAGTATGTTCTAGCAAATTTTTAATGCCACTGCCAGTATAAATCCTATATTTACACTGGCGATCAATTAAACCAACAGTTAGTACAGATTCAATTTACATTGGTGATTGTCTTAAGTGCACCGCTGATTAAAGCTTGAATTTATACCGATGGTAGCCTTAAGAAACACGTATAGACATATTTACACCTGACGGTTTGTAGCCATGAGCCCACACTTTTGTGCTTGTCTTTATGAACCACACGGTTTGTAGCCATTCCACCATTCGTGCTCGGTAACCACGGCCGCTTGGCACTGCCGGCCGCGCCGCTCGTGCAAATGTGATAGCTCGTAGAGTGTGGACACAAAGAAGAATCCCATGTTTCTTGTCTCTGCCTCTCTGGATGAGGTTGTCATGAACAGGCGAGTGGTGGAACCGGAACATTGGTTGACGTCGAGAGCGACGTCATCTTGGCCTGTCAGCTTCCCACCCAGTCCAACGCGTTCACAGTTAACGGCAAAACCGGCCTTCTGTACAAGTGCGCAAGTACGTGTGCATCGCGTCATCCATCACTGTGAAATTGTAAATTGCTGTAGTACATTTCTTTCTCTGGTTGCTATCTAAAAATAAGCTCTTAACTAGATACTTAAAAAGAAAGGTAGACGACCTCTCTTGCTTGTTCTATTATGAGACCGAGTCCGTTAACCATTTTTTATTTGATTGTGCAGTACCAAACCAGCTCTGAGAGACTATTTTAGAAATTTTCAATAGACCCTGCGGTGCTAAATTCTTAGCCGTTGGACAGATGTGGCTATGCGATAAAAAGTTGTAGTTGTTAATATGTTTTCCCTGTAGCGGTGTAGCCCTATCTATAGGGGCTTTGAAAATTAATGAACTGCTTGTGTTTTCAGGAAGATCCTTAGAAGGATTTGAGGGCCGGTTTATACAAAACAGAGGAACGAGAGAAAACGGAGGAAAAAGAAAGGAATGAAGTGGTAAAACAAATGAATAGAAAAACACAGAAAAATATGACAAGAGGTGTTTGGAATGCAGGAATAAAAAACACATGAATGAGAATAAATTAGAACTAATTTGGTAGTTGTATGTGGGCCCTCTTGAATCAGTATGCCACTCAAACCAATCAGAATCGAACGTTGTAGGCTGCTGCCTCGGACTTTGCGATGGAGAGGAAACCTGAGGTGTGAGTGGATTTTTGTTTTCCTATGAAATGAGCATCTGGGTACAGGATTCCAGAGGAAAGGGTTGGGTGATTCCTTTGTTCCAAACATCAAATTTCCTGCCATTCCATAGCAATGTCAATTCCTACAACTTTCCTTTGATTTTCCCATGATCCAAACGGCCCCTAAAGTCCTTGCTTCTGAAAATTGCAGTCATGGTCCAGCGCTAGTTGATACTCTGCCTACCGGACCACCATATGAACTTAACTCTAAACTTGCTGAACCGAGAAGAATTGCAATAAATTCTAGCAAGACTAACATGCTGACCCAAGAAAACATAGGGAGAGGCTTCTTATTTTTGAATGCTATGAACTAGGAAGCTAACTACCCACCGGTTGAAGCACAAGAGTTTGAAAGGATCTTGATGCCGCCTAGAGAGGAGTTTGAATAGGTGTTTCTGAAATTCATTCTCCCAACGGATTAAATAGTCGGAAGTACCAATGCGGATTGGAACTTTCGATGCACGTCAGAAGTTAGCGTTAGAACTTCCGATGTTGTCAGTATGAAACAACATCACTTTATTTTGTGGCAGGAGTTTTTTAATAAGGAAACAAAGTTCCAGCCTCTACTATCTGCTGATGGTACACAGGTAATAGTCAGGATAGAAACTAAAGCCATAAGGCTTGCACAACCATAAGAAAAAAATAAGGTTTAGCCCAGCTAGTGAGCGCAGAAAACAAAGAAAAGAATTAATTCTCAATCTGATTCCTGAAGTTCCAACCAAACTTCACAAAGATGGCCAAAATCAAAGTCTTCCAGCTTCTGCACCCCTTCTTGAATAACGGCCGCTCCTCCTCTCTATGCAGCACGGATAACTGTTTGATCCAGAACGTCGCTCTAAAAATTACATGTATAAAAGTGTTAGATTTAGCCTCGTTAAATACCATATCATTTCTATTCAACCATATCGCCCAACAAAGTGCGTCAGCTCCTAGTAAAATTTGGTTTCTGAGTTTATGACTTAATCCACGAAACCAGGAACAAATCAAATCAGCAAAGTTAGTAGGTGGTTGAATTCCAATCGTGATATGCACAATATTTCAAACAAAGATAGCAAAGTGGCAGTCAAAGAACAAATGTTGGATAGTTTCCAGGACTACATAGACAACATTTGACATTTGCTTGTCAATTCCTCTTTGCTAAGTTATCTTTCGTAAGTGTTGCCCCTTTTTTAAATATCACAAAAAGATCTTATTTTTTAGCGGTACTTTTATAGTCCAAAGAGGGCTTTTCTCAGGGAGAACGTCTTTTCAGGCCAAAGTTTTATACATAGACCGGATTATGTACGTACATGCCATTCTTAATGAGGTTCCATCAGAAAACATCTTTCCCGTTTGTGAGGTGAGCTTGTATAACTTTTGACACTAAGTCGAATCCATTTTTCTTTTATTTGGAACATCATTTTACAAATCCTCGCTAATCAAAGCGTCACCTCTCTTATAGTGACATGTCCTAAGGACTTACGGTTTATTTATATTCCAGTCCAAACAATACTGGTTGTAAGGAGGTGGGGGTACGAGAAGAACATGTGGTGTTGGAGTTTTCCTTTGGACTCATTTTTATATAATTTTGTTGACCAAGGGAATAGAATCTTCTTCATATAAACGTCTACAAATAGTGACACATTTGTGGCACCTATCAGAAACCAACATACAGCATAGGAAAGTGGGAAACATGGGATTCTCTATTCCATCGCGTGCCCCGGTGGCTTCAGCGCTCCTGCTTTACCTCTTCTTGCCTTTACTACCGGGGGCACATGGAGGATCCCGTAGGGTAAGCATGCATGCCCGATGCATTGCTAACAGTTTTGCAAAGAAGCTTCCAAAATCGAAACTCTAAGTAATCACCTATCTTTGTATAGCTATATATTGTATACCTAGGCGATGTGAAACATGGACACCCCAACGATGTCATCGCTTCGCACCATGATATACTCAGCAATGCTCTTGGAAGGTACGTACGTGTCCTCCTCTTAAGACGACTTATCCTGATGAATGATGTGCAAATTCATGGTTGATCGTGTCCCGTTATTACCTCTTCCAGTATGGACGATTCTTTGGCTTCCATGGTTTACAACTACAAGCATGGCTTCTCAGGCTTCGCAGCGATGCTCACGGAAGACCATGCTCATCAGCTTGCAGGTCAGTCCATTCAGGCCCCGTTCGGCTGGCAGAATTTTAGCTGAAAAACACTGTTCTGGATGAATTATTGTGAGAGAAAAACATTGTTACGGCTGAAAAAAGAAGTCGAACCAGCCGAATATGGGTAAGCCGAACGGGACGATTTTGCTCAAACTGGAATTCGCCGTCTCACTTGCTGTTAAGCCACGAAACGAACCAAAATCGCTTTTGGTTAAATCGGTTAACTTGGTTAAAGACAATACAAATTATTCCTCCACGAGTAATAATTCAATACTAAATTTGCATGGGGAACCACCAAACAAGGAGAATGCATCCTACAACAAAAGCAAAAATTAAAAGCAACTAGGAATACTTGCAATAACTGGATGAGTCTCATACAAATATGAAATGTGTTAAATAAGCAAATTGATAGAACATAATCTCAAACAGTTTCATACTGGTCGATGATGATGGGGTTGCGCACGGCGTCCATGTGCATGTTCTCGAAGGAGAAGGAGCCGGAGCTGCCCTTCCACGTCTTGATCCGGACGGCGTTGTCCGAGTGCCAGATCACCGCGTAGTTCACCGTTAGCCACGCACGCCCGCGTGCCCTGCTTGCCCAGGCTCCCGATGCTCATGCCGTGGCCGGCCACCGGGCCGCAGGGAGGTGACGTTCTCGGTGTGCTTGTTGAGGGTGCCGGTGCCGATGGAGACGCACTCGTCGCAGTTGGAGACGGCGGTGTTGGTGATGGACGTCCTGGGCGTTCTCGACGTGGATGCCGTCGGTGTTGGGGCTCAGCGCCGGGGAGCTAATGGACAGGCCGCTGACGAGCACGCGGCGGCAGCTGTCAAACTGGACGGGGCTGTTCTGCACCTTGAGGCCTTGCACCGTCACGTTGGTCATGAAAAACCTCAGCGCCTGAGGCCTGATGATGGATATGACAGTCGATCGGCAAAGAATTAACCCACCATGAGAGATCAACGTCAGTCCGTCGGATATTTCAAGGATTTTTTTTTTTGGCTCACCATTACTTACTCTTCACTTGATCACTTCATTCTAGAACTGCAGCTGAACATTTGTCAGTGCACCGTTAAAGCAACTATACTTTTTGTGGCTTCTTAACTCTGCAGAGCTTCCTGAAGTCATCAGTGTCCATCTAAGCAGAAGCTGCAGAGCGACAACCACTCGTAGCTGGGACTTCCTTGGGATCAACTACCAAATGCCCAGTGGACTACTCCATAGAAGCAGATACGGAGAGGACATAATCATCGGGGTCGTCGACACCGGTTAGTGACCAATCACAATCATAATCTATGAATTGATTCCATACTGCAAACACGTCTTAGCTGTCTAGTGCAAGTGCAAGGTCCACCAACACACCACAGTAACGTCGTAGCACGCACCCCGCTGTCCCCGCAGGTATCTGGCCAGAGTCGAAAAGCTTCAGCGACCAAGGCTTGTAGCCATGAGCCCACACTTTTGTGCTTGTCTTTATGAACCACACGGTTTGTAGCCATTCCACCATTCGTGCTCGGTAACCGCGGCCGCTTGGCACTGCCGGCCGCGCCGCTCGTGCAAATGTGATAGCTCGTTGAGTGTGGACACAAAGAAGAATCCCATGTTTCTTGTCTCTGCCTCTCTGGATGAGGTTGTCATGAACAGGCGAGTGGTGGAACCGGAACATTGGTTGACGTCGAGAGCGACGTCATCTTGGCCTGTCAGCTTCCCACCCAGTCCAACGCGTTCACAGTTAACGGCAAAACCGGCCTTCTGTACAAGTGCGCAAGTACGTGTGCATCGCGTCATCCATCACTGTGAAATTGTAAATTGCTGTAGTACATTTCTTTCTCTGGTTGCTATCTAAAAATAAGCTCTTAACTAGATACTTAAAAAGAAAGGTAGACGACCTCTCTTGCTTGTTCTATTATGAGACCGAGTCCGTTAACCATTTTTTATTTGATTGTGCAGTACCAAACCAGCTCTGAGAGACTATTTTAGAATTTTTCAATAGGCCTTGCGGTGCTAAATTCTTAGCTGTTGGACAGATGTGGCTATGCGATAAAAAGTTGTAGTTGTTAATATGTTTTCCCTGTAGCGGTGTAGCCCTACATGCTACCATTCCTGCAGGCTAAGCGGAAAGCTCCAGCTGCACCTGAACGACCGTAGCAAGCAGGTCAGAATGGTAAAATCTTTCCCGCTTATCTCAGTGCACCCCGAGATGTCGTATCTCCGACGTGGCGACCCGGCACTGGTCCCTCGTATACGGAGTCCGGATTCTTGCGGGCCCCATCGTTATCCTCTGACGTGGCTGGTCGGAGTCCACGGGTCTCGACCGGGGATGGAATAGTCGCCGGCGTACGTCGAGGTCCGCTCCGGCGGCGTAGGGCCGCCCGGAACCAAGCTGCTACGCTTGTCCATTCGCGCGTGCGGCCGCCGGAGACCGACCGGCGCGCGTAATCCAAAGCACGGTAGGGCTAGTTGCGCCTCGTACTCTTGTGCTGCCGCTGAGACTGAAAGCAAGCTCCTGCTCGTACCTACTCAGGTTGTTGTCGGATAGATGAGACGGCGGGGTTTTCACTTTCCACGCCTGCAAACAAAGTTCACACATTTCAGGTCAAGCTATCACCTCTGTGGAGGTTACAAGGGAATTATACATTTGGAAGCCTTACTGGGTACAATAACCAAAAGAAGGTTTGGATTCCAATAGCAGCCTGGATCACGATGTATGATTTATTTGCAGATGATGCATGACTGGGGTGAACCATTTATTCTGCATGCATCGCTCATTATCTAAGTTTTTTTAGCACGATCCAAAAAAATTAAGAAAATAAGACATGCCAATTGTCAAGTTTCATCGTGGCTTATATTTATTTTGCTTGTAGCCAAATAGGCTATGTGCTGTCTAGATCCGTTTGTTATGTTATATACAACTCTGATAACTATGTCGACTTTCTTTTGTTGCTGTACTTTTCAATTGCTACTTCAATAGATCTCTATCTTTATATACTAAAGTAAATAGTGTTTCTTTTTTTTGTCTAAAAATTGATGGTAAAGAAGCACGATTGGTCACAATCGTGCGATAGGCAAGGTGCACCCGTCGCAAGCGAGTGGTACAACAGCTCATTACTCTGATCGCATGCATGGCACATCCTCCTCGCCACCAAATTAATCCGATATGGAATTGAGAAGGTAAAACTAGAGATCCCTCAGCCCACATCGTCTCTACTGAAAAAAGATATTCGTTTGCACACCCTCTTCCTTCCCCTCTCGTATCTTCTCCATTTTGCAAGTGCTTTTTCTGAGAGTGGCAGTGAGTGTTGTGGTCATGGAAATGGTAGTTTCAGGGCTCTCGGGCCGGATCCGATTCCCCTGTGCCAAATCTATTAGTGGGCAGAGGGATTTGCTCATGGTGATCTCCTCGGCCGGCGTGCTCCCCTAGGTGTTTGGTGTCTAGTCCTGATGGACTCAGCGTGCTCCTTTGGTCGGGGTGCCCTCAAGAGCATGTGAAACGACCTGATTTCCGCGAAGGGAAATCCACAGAGTCGAAGTGTATTATGACCGTTGTAGATCATACTACCAAAATTCCAGTCGAATACCACATCCATACAACGATAATATCAGAGTACAAAATAGTGCGGAATTACATAAATTATTACATCGCCGCATTGGCGGAATCAAAAGTAGCATTCATTCAGAACAACTTGAAGATAAGATCGCCAAACTCGAGCGTAGGAACGAACCCCTCAACCGTCAAACTCCTCAGAGCTATACTCCTCAGCAGAACCTATGTGCCAAAATTTATCAGTACGATTTGTACTGGCCACTCCCACCCTATGAGCATTGCTTTGTGAAAATTGGATGCAAGTTGAATATATTCAAAAGGAACCTATAAGGCTGGGGTTTCCTATGCTTTAGCATATCAAGTATATATATATTAATAGTTGGTCAAGTTTAAACACCATTCCCACACCCATTCCACCCCATTTCCGTCCAGAGCCAGGTTTCGATCCTGGGATCGATATACCATCATCTCCACATTATCACCACATCACCACCATACCATCGCTCAGTCGACAGGCCAACTCCCTCTCGGCACTGTCTCATGGCCCGTAGCCCCTGGCTACGACCGACACTCTCTCACGGGGGTAGAAGAGAAGGACTCATCTCACTATCTAGTTTAAGCGAAACCCAGGAAAGGTTCATAGCCGACAAGTCGGCATATGTATCGATCGATCAACCATACACTCTGCAGAGGTTTTACATAACCACAAGATCCGCCTTCCTCATTGACCGTAAATCAATCGGGCTGATTCCGGCCGCTTGCTAGCCTTGGATAATGTCACTCTACCATTCGGTCTGGTACACCCCAAGTCTAGTCAGGGTGGTGAAAGCCTATGAGTCATGAGCCGAGTCCACAAGGTCTCCATGAAGTCTCGGAAGGGTGTGGGGAATCCTCCGCGCCCGTACTTCCTCGTAACTTTGTCGCTATCAACCTAGCAGTGAGTGGCAATATCCTACCAAGTAGTCACGTCGTCCGCGCCATATATAGGGCGAGTGGTATGTAAGGCTTCCCGGTGAATCTGAGTACTAGTAAGTCCTTAGGGATGACCAAGCCAGAATATCTTCATCAGGGTTTCCATTTACCGTGCCACCACAGCACCTCCACCCCGGGCTCCTCCCATCATAGGTTCACACCCAGGGCCACCTCATATACCATTTACCCACCACAGGTATCCATTTCCAGGGGTGCCCAGGTAGCACCTCGTGGCAAGACTTGCCCCAGGCTCGTCGTATATTCTAACTTGGTCGACACAACCCTCACCCTCCACGCACCCAAGTCACACACGCAGCACTATCCCCATAGTCCAGATAACACCAGTTTCCACCACGCATCATGTAGTACAAGCGTAGTAGAAGTAATAAGCAATGAAATATAGCAGCAAGCGTGTGTCTAGCCTAATAGTAGGGTAAGCAGGGGTAAGGTTGTGTCAAGGTAAAGGCCATCAAGTAAGCATACTACCATGCAAGTCCTATCATAGTGTGAATATAGCAATAAAGTAAAGCAATGGCCGTTCTATATTAGCCATGCGTAATAGGTGCTACGAGGTTGGGTGGGATGTGGCACCTTCAGTGAAGTCGTCTCCGTACTCCTCACGGTACTCTCGGTCCTCATCCGTCTGGTTCTCCTCCGAGTCTGCAAATGATCGCATTATAGTCGCGTTAGTGACGTCTATAGAATAGCACAAAAAGCAATGAAAATTCAAAAGAGCCAAATGCACTTAAACATGGGTTCATTGCGTAGAGCTCGGTTTTAGATGAATTTTGGTTCTGGTCTTGTATTTTTCTGAGGTCGTATGAATTATTTATGAATTTCCGAAGATTAAATCCATTTCTGAAAATAATGAAGGCTGGTTGATTCAGGGCTGACACGTGTCACACTGTGACTGGTTCACGTGGCAGGTAGGGACTTGGAGCGGTGTATCGGCTGGTGAGGTGGTCGGAGATATCGCCGAGGTGGTCGGAGAGATCGCCGAGGTCCCCGACGCTGGCGTGGTCTCATCTTCGGCATGACGTCAGCATGGCGTCATCAGAGCTAAACTGCGGCTGACAAGTGGGTCCCAGTCAACGGTGACTGACAGGTGAGGCGCGATTCATGGTGAACCCGCCTATGTTGGTCCATAGACTGCAGAGCCGGTCTATGAAGGACTTGGTCCACTTACTCCTTCCCAGGGTTCGATTCACGTGCACCAACTGCACGGACGTGTGGCCGGCGAGGGGAAAATCCCCATCTTCTTCCCCGGCGTGCTCCCGCCGGTGGTGAGCTCACCGGCGATCCCCTCCAGCAGTGTGGGTGTGCAATTAAGGTGGGCAAAAGCTTGGCCTTGCCATGGCGGGTGCCCCGGTGAAGTTAACGTGGTGGCCGGGCGGCTCTAGTTGGCTGGCCGCGGTGGCGGCGGTCCTTG